CAAATGCAAAAACTCTGCATCAACCTCAATGCCCACCCACACTAATCAAACAGAATATATTGGAAAATAAGAATAAATAGAATATTCAGTTATTAACTCTCAATAATGATATCATGGAATCCATAAAGGCAATAAAACAATTCAGAAACAAAAATGATTAATCAACGGATCAAAAACTAAAACATAATCATTAATAATAACCTCCCAAACCCAAGGAACCCAATTCAAACCCCAAAAAGAGGGAAATCACCTTAGGCTTCAGATCCCGACCCGAATCAAATTCCAAGTCCCTAAATAAGGGAACGAGGGATGTTGCTCCGACCCAGAGGATCGAGACAACCCACCTGGAATTCCGGACGACAAGTCAGAAAAGTGTTGGCCATACCGGGGACTCATGGTGATCGGGACCATCGGCAACCGGTCGGTCAATTCGCCCCGCCATTGAAGAACAAAGCAAAGAACGAGAGTGAGAGGAAGGAGCGTTAAGAGCAGAGAAGACGAAATTGAAAGCGGGTAAGAAAGGAGAAGAAGAAGAAGAAAAGAGGCAATGGGTCTTAAAGAAGAGTAAGACCCCCATGATGAGAGGTTGCAGAGAAGAAATGCATAATGAAAGGAATGGAATTGTGTATCAAAGTTATTTAAATCAAAAAATGTTGAGAAAAAATTGAAAATGAAAACAGAGTGGAGAATGATACTAAGAACCGTTTTGTTTTGTTTCGTTGGATTGCCGTCTTCGTTTTCTATTATAATCAAACGACCCCTTAGTCTGATTTATTATTGACAAAACCCCCTAAATTTCTGAAATAATAAGAATTTCCCCCTTTCTTAATAAATCCTTAATATTTGTGAATTAGTAACACTGTATTACTTCTTACTATTTGTTTTAATGCCTAAATAACTAACACTTCCAAATATCACAGGATTTTCAATATTTATAATATTTCTACTCATCGATATCTAAAATTTACAAATTTAATAGTTAAATATTTCTAAATTTATCTGGCAAAATTATATATTAATTATTTAAATGTTAAAAGGCTACTTACTAATTTGTCAAAACATTTATTCATAAGATGGTTAAAGTAATTTATATTCCCATATATTCAATACAGATGAAGTCAATTCATGCATCCTCCTCAAATTCAAAATTTATTGCATTACTAGAATATAGTAAACATTAATTTTTTATTTATACTGTTCTATAGATGGATCTTTCAAAATTGTCTAATTTGTTAAAACTAACTCATGCATAAATATGATTTTATAAATTAAATAAGATAATTTTGATGGAATTGAGATAACTCATTTTCAGAGAGTATTGTTACCTTGTTATTTCTAGATGGAGATATATGTCCTTTTTTTAATAATAAAAAAATTTGCAGATAAAGAAATAGATCTCTCCTTTACTGACACAATTGGCCAACTTTTAATTTCTTTCTGATTTAATGTTTTATTTTAAATTTGGCCACTATTTCTCCATATAATGCATCTTTTTTGAGGATTAGACACATAAAAGGAATGTTTCATAAATCCAAAAAAAAAAAAAAGTTTGATAATAATTTATAAGTGTTGTTTTGATTCCAATTGAAATATGGGAGATAATCATAGAGTACCTTTAAGGTTTCTAATTTATTATTTTGATGCCAATTTTTGCACTTTTTATCATAGACTAACCCCTTAACCTCAAGTTTGGAACTCTATCTGGATACTCCTTTACCCTAACTCCATTACGTTGTCGTGTATGGTAAGATGAGTGAAAAGTAGCTTTAGTCTTAGAGAAAGTTTTTTTTCAACTAACGCCATTTACCAATTTAACTGCACAGGGATATCCATGATAATTGAACTTTGAGGGTACATTTGAATATTTGATAGTGCAATGGGGGTCTCCATGATAAATTTTCAAATTTTGAGAGTAGTCTATAATAAAAAATGTGAAAGTTGTCTAAATTTGAAAAACTTACTAGGCAAAGGGTGATCCAGGAAGGATCTTTAATGGTGATGCGATGTTTTTGGCATTTGAGAAAGAATCAATAGTAATGATAAGTGATAACAATGTGGAACACTAAGGAGGTCCATTATTTGTTTGGATAAAAAGATTACATGGCATTCTCCAATACCATTACCATTAAGTTGCTTACTTCCATCACTCAATTATCATAATCCTTACACCCACCAAACATATGTTGGCTTATTTGAAAATGACTACTCCCACTCTGCTTACAACATCTCTAAACCATTGTTTTAAAAGTCGGATCGGACCGGACTGGCCGGTCCAACCTGTTGGACCTGGACCCGGTCACGTATCCAGTTCGAGCCAACATAAAACCCGACATTAATAAATGAATTGTTATAAACCATTAATAAACCACCTGAACAATGTAAACCGTCGGTTGGACCAGACCGATTGAAAAATCGGTCCAGCATCTGAAAAGGGGAAAACATCCATAATTTCTCAGTTTCTCTGATTTCACCTTTCTCTACATAAAATCCTCTGAAAAAATGTTAACACAAATATGAACATCTGAAATCCCACACAAATCGCCACTCAATCTCAACGAAATCCACTCTCTGAGTCTGAAATCGTTTTTGAAATCGATCGTAACTCAAGCCTCTGAAATCACGACGACACCTTCCTCCCTCGCCGGAAATCGATCAACACAATACACAAACGATTTTAAGATTTCTCTTACCTAGGGTAGTTGAATCGGTGATCGACTGGACTAAAGTGGAGTCGTGCTTAGCTACTGCATAATATTGAATCGAAAATGAATAGGGAATTGGAGAGTAGAGATAGAGGATTTAAATGGAATTTGAAATGTCATGGTGGTGATTAGGCCAGAAAATGGAGTTATGGAGATGCCGAGACAGATTAGACGGTGTCACGGTAGTGGTTCAGCCTTTAGGAGTTGGAGACGGAGAGGATTCAAAGCAAACGGGATTTGAAATGTCGATAGATTTTACATTTAGGATTTTTAGAGATATTAAGGTTTTTACTTTTAGGAAAACTTGTTTACAAAATCGGTTTGGTTAACTGGTTTAAAATTACCTTTGAACCATTACCCGAACTAGTTATCCGGTCTGGTCAATTTTGAAAATTGAAACCGAACCAATTACTTCGAAAAACTAGTTTTTGGGATCAGTTTACATTCAGTTTGGTTCGATTTTTTATTTTACTTTTAGGGCTGCTATTTGGGTTTTATTGCGTTTTGAATTTGTATTGAAGTGGTTAAGTTCCTGGTTTTCGTATGGGTTTTATTTATTCTTTTGGGTTGAATGATGTTTGTTGTTTCTACGGTTCAGCAATTTGTGGGGTTAATTGAGTTTGTGATTTGTGGGGTTTAGAATAAGTTTTGATCCTATTGATTATGAAAGTATTGATAAAACTGAAGGTTGGATAGTTGACAATGAAGAGGAGGTCAGTGAACTTAATTATGAGGAGTTGGAACAAATGTTATATGGAGAAGGATCTATTCCTGCTGGAGTCACTATTTTAAAAACCAGATCAGACCGGCCGGTCCAACCGGTTGGACCGGGAACCGGTCACGTGTCCGGTTCAAGTCAACCCCAAAACCATTATTAGATATTGAGCTACTTCAAACCGTTTGAAAACCGAATAATATTAGTGAACCGCCGGTCCAACCGGACTGGCGGATAAACCAGTCCAAATATTAAAAATCCCTAATACGCGACGCGACGTAGCCCTTTCTCATCTTCTTCTCTTTCAGTCTTTCTCAGTTTTTCTTACGAAAATTTCTCAGCAAACACTCTGTTCTCTGCGAAAATTTATTAGCTTCGTCTCTGTTGTCTGTTCTCTGCGAAAATTCTCACGGTTTCACCTCTGTCTTCTGTTCTCTCTGAAATCCCACCCAAACCGCATCTGAACTCTCTGAAATTGACGACGACGTCTTCCTCCCTCGTCGGAAATCGACGATGACAGCTCCGTTCCTCGTTGGAAATCAACGGCGATAGCTCCATTCGTTGACGACAACTCCATTCCTCGATCCAGGTAATAAACACGTCATTCCTCAATCCAGCTTCAATAATCAATAATGATTTAATTGCAAACTTTATCTGGAGCAATGTGTATGTGCATGTATTTCCAGATTATGTATTTGAATTCACCCTGCTCCTACTCTTGATTTTGTTTTTCTTTTCCATATTATCAAATATTGCTTTAACCAAAATTATCATGTAGATAATCCTTTCATTTGAAGTTTGCATGCCCATTTGAAGTTTGGTTTTGGAAGCAGTGAGATCGGGACGAAATTGATAGAAGTAAAATTATCATCACGTAGATAATCTAGATTATGTATTTGAAGTTTGTATGTGCAATATTGCTTTAACCAAAATCATCATGCAGATAATCCAGATTATGTATTTGAAGTTTGTATGTGCAATATTGCTTTAACCAAAATCATCATGTAGATAACCCAGATTATGTATTTGAATTCCGTACTTGAATGTTTATGTTTTACTTCTATTGTATGTTTGTGGATGGAATAAAGACTTATGATGACCGTATGTTGCATGATCAATCGATTATATACTTTGGTTTCTCATGCAGTTGGCCTTTCTTTCTTTCTTTATCAATCGATCTCATCAACCATATCCACTACATTATATACTTTGGTTTAACCACCATCGAAATCTTAAAAAAGAACACTAAAAGCCAAAGTTGATGTGGGAAAAACAAAGGAAAAAAGATACTGAAATGGAGGGCTGTGATTGATCTTACTTATAAGCATACGTACAAATGGATTAAAAAGAGAACTAGAAAAGGAATATGTTAGATATAAAAGGGGTTCATGAATAAGGAAACAAAGAAAACATATTATTGTGTGTTTTAAAAATGTGTTGACGTCATCATGATGTGTGATGATGTCACTGGTCCAACCGACGGTGGGTTCNCATATTAATTTCTCATTTATGGAGTTAATTAGTATCAACCTAATTCATTGAAGCATTGTTCTTGCAGCTGAACTTCTAGGATTTGACGGCTATATGCATCTTTTGCAAGTACTGAAAAAGGTCAACAAGACATTCTCAGAGGCCTAAATTATGCATCTGCAGGATCTGGAATTCTTAATGAAACTTCCAAAAACCACCTTGTAATACAAACATTCACTGCCCTTTTCCATTATGTAAAAACTATTTATTATGACATTGCCAAAATTATCAATATTAATTGGCATAAAATGACCAATTTTCAGATAATGTTAATTAACCATGTTCTTTACATAACTAATCTTGAATTTAATTAGGAATGGAATAACACATTCTCTTTGTTCTTTCATCAACTTTTTACCCATATTCATGCATTGTAGGGAGAAGTAATTAGCTTGGCCCAGCAGTTACAGAATCACGGAAAAATTGTCTCAGAAATTATGAGAATAAAAGGAGACAAGAAATCAGCAGCAGATCATCTAGGACAGTGCATATATACAATCGGAACGGGCAGTAGCGATTACATGAACAATTACTTCTTGCCTGTCTTTTATACTACAAAGAACCAATATACACCTGAGCAATACGCCACAGTTCTTGTTCAGCAATATTCACAACATCTAAAGGTGTGTTTGTCGTCATTTCTCTAATGTTTTTAAAATACAAGTTTGATTAATGTTTTCTCAAGTCATGTTTTCAAAATTACCAGGATTTATACAACTATGGAGCGAGGAAGATAGCCATATTCGGATCAGGTTTAATTGGTTGTACTCCAGGAAGTTTTGAAATGGATAACACAGATGAAATTAAATGTGTAGACTCCAAGAACTTGGTAGTCAAAATATTTAACGATAACCTCATACGGCTAGTTGATGAACTCAATAACAATCTTCCGGGTGCCAAATTTATCTGTGTCAACATGTTTGGGATTTCTTCTACCCCTATACCTGGTATGAACATAATTTTTAATGGTTTTAGCTTTGTTATGTAGTTTTGTTTTTTTAATTTTAATGCTCGGCGTATTCAACCATAAAGTAAATGGAACACATAGGACTCAGGTTCTTTAACGGTTGTATTAATTGTGTTTTGTTAACATTCATAAGAGTTAACGGCTTTTCCTACCCAAATAATAGTTTAATAATATTTTCTCACTCACAGACTTTTAAAATACTATTTTACTATCCAAATTTATATTTCAACAGTAAACAGAGAGCAAACTTGGTTTAAGCTATTGAGACTTTTGAAAATGGGAGGTTAATGAGTCTTTTGATGGTGGAATATTAGATTTTAGTGGTTGGGATTGATTAGAATTTGACTTGGGAGGAACGGCTACATAAACCCTAATTGCTCGATTGTTGGCAATTGGCAGGATCGATAAGAGTAGAGTTTGAGGGGTTTTGACAAGTGATGATCAGAGAAGAGAATGGTGGTAATGTGAGGTGCAACGATATCGGAATTGAAAACATGATATAAATTTGAGAAGTAAAATGATATTTTAAAAGTTTATGGGTGAGAATGTGTCATTAAACCATTATTTGGGTGGGAAAAAAACAGTCTATGAAATATGCATATAAGCATATCAATTTCACCCCGTAAAAATGTAGTCCCCACTCCCCCTAAGCATATGATAAAATGTAGCCGTTTTTTATCAAACTTTAAACTTCAGTTTAAGAAATACAATTTCTTGGCTGCATCAATGTTTTTTTTTTTAATCTTCTGGGTGTTCATTATTTCAGGAGTTACGGTGATAAAGACTCTATGCTATGAATAGAAAATTCAAAGATGAACGTGGGGTTTTGACATGCACTCAGTTTGGTGCTTCATGTCCTAATAGAGCTAACCACGCATTTTGGGATGGAGTGCATCCAACTGAAATTACTCAAGTCTTTATGGCAGAAAGAGCATACGAAGCTCAATCTCCTTCAGATTGCTACCCATATGATATTCATCACCTTGCTCAATTTTAAATTTTAACGAATAAAGTTCGAGGTTCACCCAATTTTATTTTCATTATCTTATATAAGAGTAGGATTTTCATCGAGTTCATGTTGGTTACCATATCAGCTTTTCTCTCTCTCAGGGGTGGAGGGAGAAATAGGCTCACCCAGGCTGCAACCACAAGATATAATATAGTAATATACCAATCAACATAATTTAGTTTTATTTAAAAAAAAAAAAAAAATCATCTCAAACCTAGTAAATTATGTAAATTTTTGTAAATTAAAGTTAACAAAACTCATACACACCCAACACAGTACCAGCAACCATCCCAATAACAGTTCCAGCATCCAACACCGTCAAATTCTAATGGCCAAAGGTCAATTCTCCAAACCCATACACTACACCAGTTTTGACCACATCTAATATAGATTAACCGTATCACCAATAAAGCAACTATAGACACTCAAAGCGCAAACATTCTTCAATCGACCGCAAGTTCATGTTCATCTCGTAACCGGACAAGAAGTAAAAACCACCATGGAAACTTTGGCAAAGGAAACTCAAATCTCATTAAATTAAATTAAAGAAAACTCCCTCCTGTAAACTGAACTCCCCTAAGACTATGGGTCAGATGTGCCAACAAAACACAACTCCAGCAGAGAAAATGGATCACTTGCCCATTAAGGGTATTGGTATTTTTCTTCCAGAGGCAATGCATAGTCATAGAAGAGGAGTTAAACCTTAACAATAGCAGTGGAAGTCTGCCAACACAAAAACATGATATAAAACAATGGTGTCAGTTATAGTTGAGGATCAATACCAGAATCCAGCCTTCAATCTGAAGATTCTCAGATGCTCAGATGGCATCTTTAACCTCGTGAGAGTCTACTAGTTTCTCAGTGAAGATCCTTTAATTATTCTACCAGCCTCTAGCCAGCAAAGGTAAGTTTGTCTGACGAAGAAATGACAGTTGAATTACCAGCAAGAACACTGAAAAACATATCCCAGAAAGGTGAAAGAAACTCAAGGACTTTTTAGCAAGCAGCTCTCCACCTTGGAACTTGATGGACTCTCAATAACCAAATGGTATAACCGAAAAGGGCAGAACAGGAAAAGCAAGGATTGACAGGTGGCACATCAATACAGTGAGTGTAAAGAGTTAGTTAGAGTGGGAACCTAGTAGACTAAAAGAGAGGAGGCTGGATAAGTGTGATATCATGGAATTTATGGGAAATGGTAAAGGAGGATTTGACCCTCGAAGATCAACCTGCTATCTGTTTCTTTACTATTCTTTTATGTTCTTCTCCATTTGTAATACAGTCTATTATTCTCTTAATACAAATATCAGTTTATTTGATTGAATATTGAGTGTTGGCATGCTTGTTTGTTGTTTATTGGCCGTTGTAGTGAACTTAATGTGTGATTGATTGAAGAATTAGAGTCAGGTTCCAACAAATTGGTATCAAAGCTAGACGAATTCAGGGTATAGTTGGTACAAGGATGGTAAATAGATTAGACAACATTGAGAAAGATGTTGCAAAGGTAACAAAGACGGTGAATGCAATGAAGGAGATATTGATGGATATGTAGAATTGGATGCGTAAAAAAGATGAAGAAGAGGAGGAACGTAGAAGAAACTTAACTGGGAACTCGAGTCGTGGTAGGGAAAGTCACAACGAGCCAGAACTCCACGAAAATTTGGGAAATCAGGGCAGAGCCAATGGAGGAGGTCAACCAGAAAATGGGCTTCACGGAAACTAGGGACATCAAGGAGAGAACCCATCAGGGGATAGATGGAATCAAGGTGGAAAGGGGTGGTATCGGCGTGACTGGAGTGGTCGAAAGCTGGAGTCGCCTATCTTTTCCCACGAAGACCCGTATGGGTGGATTTTCAAGGTAGAACTCTATTTCACATTCAACCAAATAGCCGACAAGCATCGAGTGTCGGTGACAGCGCTGTGTATGGAGGGAGAAACCCTCCATTAGTACCAATGGATGAAGACCCGATTGGCGATGACCAATTGGCAAGAATTCAAGGTAGCCTTCTCTTAAATATTTAATGGAACTTAGGAGGTGAGTCCTTTGGAGATGTTGATGGCAACGAAGTAGAATGGCAAGATGCTGGAGTATTGTCGCAGATTTAAGGAGGTGGAGGCATAAACTGTTGGAAAAATGGAAAAGGTGATGAATACTGCATTTTTTAATAGGCTTAGGCCAGAAATAAAAGCTGAAATAAAGCTTCAACAACCCAATATAATTACTCGGCCCAACTCTCTAACTTATGTGACCTAGCTAGCCCAAAGGGTGGAAGAGAGAAACCAAATCGTGGATGAGGCCAGACTTGGATCAGGCTGGCAGAACAAATTGGCTCAATCATCTATTAGGCCACAAACTTATAGCTACCTGACCCAACCCAAAGAAATCAATAAGACCCAAACCCCAAACGATCCAACCAGATATTTAACCCCAAATCCACCCCTATTAAGAAATTAGAGTGAGGCTTATTCTAGTCCCAACTTATCCTCATCGGTCAACTTCCGACCAAATCCATTACGGCGAGAGTTTCCTTACAAGAAAATGACCAAAGCCGAGTTCCAAACAAAAAGGGAGAAGGGTTTATGCTACTGATGTGACGCCAAATACTCGCCAAGCCACCGATGTGGGGACAAGCAATTCCAAGTGCTGTTAGTGGAAGATGATGATCCAGAGATAAACGAGATGTCCACGAGGGAAGACACACTTGAGGAAGAAGTACCAAGGACCCTTGAACTTTCAATCAGTTCGGTGGAATGCATAAATGGACCCAAAACCTTGAAACTAAAAGGTGAGATTGGAGGTAAGGGCATTATAGTGTTAATTGACAACAGGGCCTCTCACAATTCCATCAATCGGAAGGTGGTAGAAGAATTAAAAATCCCAGTGGTCCTAACCAAACCTTTTCGAATAAGAGTTGGGGATGGTTACAAAGTGAGTTGTTAAGGAGAATGTCGAGAGGTGAGCTTGAAGCTACAGAACATCACCGTGGTTCAAAANACGAAGCAAAATGGTATGGTGTTGGAGTATCGCCGCCGATTTGAGGAGGTGGCGGCACTAACTATCGATGAAAGGGAAAAGGTGATGATTGATGTGTTTTTTAATGGGCTCAGGCAAGAAAAAAAAGCTGAAATAAAGCTTCAGCAGCCCAATATAATAGCTCGGCCCAACTCTCTAACTTATGTGACCCAGCTGGCCCAAAGGGTGGAAGAGAGGACCAACTTGTGGATGAGGCCAAACTTGGACCAGGCAAGCAGAACAAATGGGCTCAATCATCTATACGGCCACAAACTTATAGCTACCCAACTCGACCCGAAGAAATTAATAAGACCCAAACCCCAAATGATCCAACCCGATATTCAACCCCAAATCCATCCCTACGACGAAACCAGAGCAATGCTCATTCCAGTCCCAACTCATCCTCATCGGTCAACTTCCAACCAAATCCATTCCAACGAGAGTCTCCTTACAAGAAAATGACCGAAGCTGAGATCCAAAGAAAAAGGGAGAAGGGTATATGCTACCAGTGTGACGCCAAATACTCACCAGGTCACCGATGTGGGGACAAGAAAATCCAAATGTTGTTAGGGGAAGATGACGATCCAGAGATGAACAAAATGTTTTCAGTGGAAGATAAAGTTGAGGAAGAAGTACCAAGGACCCTTGAACTTTCAATCAGTTCGGTGGAAGGCATAAATGGGCCCAAAACCTTGAAACCAAAAGGTGAGATTGGAGGGAAGAGTGTTATAGTATTGATTGACAACGGGGTTTCTCACAACTTCATCAATCGAAAGGTGGTAGAAGAATTAAAAATCTTAGTGGTCTAAACCAAACCTTTTGGAGTCAGAGTTGGGGATGGTTACAGAGTGAGTTGTCAAGGGGAATGTCGTGAGGTGAGTTTGAAGCTGCAGAACATCACCATGATTCAGAACTTCTACCCTTTCAACATGAACAGCGTCGATTTCATTTTGGGCATTGCATGGCTTGAAACTTTGGGTGAGACCACAACGAACTAGAAGGAGTCAATGATGAAGTTTAACCAATCCAGGGAAATAGTAGCTTTGGTTAAGGATCCCTCAACGAGTAAGACAAGGGTGTCGTTGAAGAAGATGATTAAAACACTGCAGACAAAGGGACCAAGGTATTTGCTAGAATTGGGAAATCTGTAGCTGTAGGAAGTGGGTGAAACAGTGGTGGACAGTAGCATTTCTGAATTGCTGAGAGAGTATGAAGCTTTGTTTGAACCATTACCAGGGCTCCCGCCAGCAAGGGCGCATGATCATGCCATCAGGCTAGAACAGGAAGCTCCAGTCCCTAATGTCAGACCCTACCGGTACCCATACTACCAGAAGAACGAGATAGATTAGATTGTTCGAGAGATGATGGCCTCAGGGATTATCAAACCAAGTGTCAGCCCTTTTTCTAGCCTGGTACTCTCAGAACTCTTACTTCTACATTACTCGAAACAGATACAGAATTACACTTAGGAGCTAAAACAGAGTTCTTCTCTGATGGACCCTCGATAACCAAATGGTATAACTGAAAAGGGCAGAAAGGGAAAAGCAAGGATTGACAGGTGGCACATAAGTACAATGAGTGTGAAGAGTTAGTTGGAGTGGGAACCGAGTAGAATAAAAGAGAGAAGGCTGGATAAGTGTGATATCATGGAATTAAGTGGGTAATTGTAAAGGAGGAGCTGACCCTTGAAGATCAGCCTGCTATCTGTTTCTTTGATGTCCTTTTACGTTCTTTTCCATTTGTAATACAGTTTATTAATCTCTTAATACAAATATCAGT